TCTTCTTCTTCCTGCACCGACTGCATGGCTTCTCATCTTCACATCGGAGATGACTCTGGGAACAGGCTTCGCAGGCTTGGACCACTCTTGTGTCGCGAGATATTTCGCGCCTCTGCCGCTTGTTGGCGGGCTCTGTGTCGTGGTTTGCTACATGTCGCTTGAGCAAGTCTCTGCAGCATGTTAGATGAGTCTCACGGCAACGGTTGTGATGAGATGCTAGCACGACATCTTCACAAAGCACTCACATTCTGGCAAAGCCCTTGGAGCAGACCGGGCAAATGTACGGCTTGGACTTTGTGTCTGTTGAAGCGGGGTCAGTCTCCTAGGGTTCGGAGATGTGTATGTAAAATCAGGCGCGTCGAATGTCAGGACACAGCCATCTTGTTGGTGTTTGAACAAGAAAGGGTGACTACCTTTGAGGCATGTGCAGAGCAAGAAGACACCGACTATGCAGAACAAGCCTCGTAGCAGACAGGGGCAGTAAACTCTTTAAAGTGGATGCCAGAAGTCTGCGGAGCACCGAAGACGTTGGTCGCGAGCGCGTCCCACATCTCTCGCTCAACCACAGGTGCTGGTAGCAGGGACAAAGACTTACGCGCTCTCACGTGTCGGGTGAGGTGGTCAGCTCTGGTAAAGGAGCGCTTGCAAGTGCTGCACTGGAACAGACGTGCCTGTTCGGCATCGAGCTCGGCATGAGCAGGTTGACTATTTGGTTGTGCTGTGCTCACCTGCATCATTGGATGCTTGTTGCTATCGGGTGAGATTGACGAGGGACGGCATCGGGAGGTGGGAAGTGGAGGGAGATAACCTTACGTGTGGGGAGAGTGCGGAGTTGGTGTCGCGTGGTGTGCATTTGTCCGCATGCCGAGACGGGGGCGGGCCCGCATCCCGGCCTCGGCTGATCTGTGCCTGTCCCTCCTGTTTGTGGAAGCGGCGACCGATGCCTTCAAACACAGCGACGGACATGGCCCTCGTTTTTGCTCCTGGTCTCCGTCCCATTCCCTGTCACTTCTGTGGCAACACTGGAGCCTACGACTCCTTGTTCTTCTCAACATATTTGTCGCAGAGAATGCTCCGAGTTTTCGTCTGGTCTCGCTGATCATCAAAGAGTCCACACAATGCCTAATACCAGACTCGGGCGGGCTTACTACTGCTAGGTGCAATAAGACGCGTCTTGCTCGTACACATCCCCATCTCCTCCCCCACATCCCGACATTCGCCATGGGCCACATCCGCTCTCACGTAAAGCACCAGACCAGGACAGGTACAGCCTCCACATCATCCGCACTTCCAACCGTCCTTCTGTAGTCTCTATCAAGTGATATCCAAGATCGCGGCGACCACAGTACGCCCATCGCTACTCATCTTCGCTGCAACATACACACCACACTGCGTAGCCATGCCTGTCCCACCAGTCCACTTCTTCTCCCATGGCTCCACCATGATGCTCGGCGAGGAGTCAAAATCCGCCGACTACTGGAAAGCCTGTGGCGATGAAGCCCTCTCGCACGGCTTCAAAGGCGTCATCATGATGGGCGCCCACTGGGACGCTCGCGGCGTAAACCGCATCGACGTCGCCATGAACCCCAAGCCCACAAAGTCCCCCGTTGCCTACGTCCACCCCCGCAAATACAAGGACTACGAACTTGTCCCCGACCTCGAGAGCGGAAAGAAATGCATTGCCGCACTGAGAGAAAAAGGCATTGATGCGCGCCCAAACGACTCCTTTGACTGGATCCACGATACCTATCTCATCCTCATTCGCATGTTCCCTGAAAAATGCCCACCCACCACTATCATCAGTATGAACTCGCGATTCGACCCCCATCTGCATGCCCGTGTCGGCAACATCCTATCCAAGTTCCGCGACGAGGGATACCTTATCATCGGAACCGGAGGCGCAGTCCACAACCTCTACCGAAACCACTGGGGCCAAATGCTCCGCTACTCAGATAACTTCGCCCAGCCATATCCCCCAGAGGCTCCTATGCTTGAGTTCCGTCAGTGCGTCGAGGATGTGTTTATTCGGTGCTGCAGAAAGGGGGCCAAGAAGGGTACTCTGACACGAGGAATCACAAGGCTGATGAAGCACCCCATGTTCAGAGATGCACATGCTACTGACGATCATTACATGGCCGCGTGCTTTGTTGCCGGCGTAGTTGATGGAAGCAAGAGGGAGACAGACGAGGCTGTGCTTGGTGCGGAGGACTGGGAGTTGGTGAATATGTGTAATAGCCAGTTTACAATTGGCAAGTGGACTTAGAAAGTTTGTAACGATATCCATGGTAGCTTTTTTTTATGTTCGGTTCAATATACATACAAATTTCCTTGAACAGGTTGTAACTTCAACCGTGCATGACATCGGGATATTGAACGAAGAATGATATGAATCAGACTCATGTTGCTCGCGCCTCAAACAATTCACTCATGAGGTACTCCGACATGAACAACATGTTGATCGAATTCTCACAATATTGGCCACAGCAATCACACACAAGTATCACACAATATACCAACATCTCAAAACATTTATATTCTCTAAAAAGGCACACTACATAGCCCCTACTTCGGCGGCACAATAGGCAACGTAACACAATTCAGCGCCCTTTCCGAAAAATGCACATGATTCCACCCGCCAAACCTCTCCTCACTCCGATCCTCAGGATGCGTATGTTGGAAAATGCCACTACCCTGCGTATCCCCACTCGCAACCTCAAACACAATCTTGCCGCCCTTCTCCACAATCACGTTCGTGGGCCACACCTCCACATCCACGGCGTAGACGTCGCCGGGGACAACGGGTTGCACGTCTGTGCTGAAGTAGTCGCGCCAGGGGAGGTGGGGGCGGTGCTTGGGGTGCGAAGGGTTGGTTTTGCGGAGGCTGACGCGAAGCCAGCCTTTGGCGAGGGGGATGGGGTCGCCGGCTGTGCCTGTGTAGTGGACTTCTTTGCCTTCAGGAGAGATGTAGCGGAGGGTGAGGAAGAGGTCGATGTCAGTGGGTGTGGCGCCCGTGGCATGGGCTGAGAGCGAGACGTTGAGGTGCGCGACAATGTGCCCGGTTATTTCAGTTTCTTCTTCAAAGGGCGCGGTGGTGAATTGGAGAAGCTTGGGGTTGTCGAGAGTGCCGAGGGCTTCGTAGGAGAGTTTTTGTGGGCGGGTTACGATGGGTGCGATTTGGGTTAGAGTTTGAGAGGGGGTGAGGTAGAAGTTTGTGTAACGGGTTCGTGCAATGGGCCATTCGTTTTCGGTTCGTCTTTGATACACCTTTTCTTTCTCGGCATCGTCGAAGCCAACGTCGCCCTTGCGGAGAACCATGTCAACTGGAGGCAGCTTGCCCTTTACTGACCAGCCAACACGGTCCTCGCCCTTGAGGAAAGCATCAAGGAAGCTTCGTTGTATCTCGACTTCTTCCTTGTAGTAGAAGGGCAGGTCATGTCTTCCAGTGATCATTCGTAGGTATTTGAATTCAGACCCAGCGTGAACGTAGCCTTCGATGTTGCCGCGAAGATGAAGCAGGATACCGCCCCAATTGCCGACCGATAGGAGTGGTACTTCAATATCGCTCATATCGTACTCTTTGCTCGCGTAGTATAGCTCGTCACGGAACTTGTACTTGGCAGTGTCAATAGTTTGATCCTGTCGGTTCTTTGCCCGCACTTCGTCAGATAGATTTCCATCGACTGTGTCTGGTCCCCAGTTTCGTTCTGCGCGGCCTGGGCGACCATATTGATTTGTGATGACTTGACGGTTCCTGAAGAAAAATTGAATTAGTACTTACTTTCTTTTTTATAGAGAGGACATATCAGACTTACCACCAAAAGTCGATGAACTTGTTACTCAAGATACCTCCATGACGGCATCTGTCTCGGTAATAATCACTCATACCTTCCCACGGTATTATTGCGGCCAAGCCTTTGGGCCTGCGCGCTGCTACACGCCATTGCGATCCAGCGTAGTAGCTTATACCAAGCAAACCGACCTTTCCAGATGACCAAGGCTGCTCAGCTGCCCACTCGACGACATCGAAGAAAGCCTCGCTGGTTCCTCTTGACATTGTGTCTAGAAAGCCTGGCGACTGACCAAGGCCACGCTCATCAGCGCGCACAATGATGTAGTCATGCTTGGTCCAGAAACCAGGATCTGGTGTTTCCCATGCTGAATGATCAGAATGGTGCTCAGGATTGACTTCCGAGAATGATTTCCCGTGGAAGCTAGGAGGCGTTAGTCGCTGCGAACAAGATTCAGATATCACCCTACGTACTCTTTGTAGTGAATGTCTTTTCCGTACGGTCCATAAGTCACCAGCACAGGAAGTTTAGTACCTTCCTTGGTTGATTTCGGACGGTAAACATTGCAACGAATAATGCCCTTAGAGGATGTCTTCAACGGCACTGCAGCATTCTCCTCAAAAATGTAGGGAAACGACGACTCGTCGATGCGGTGCGCGTCCTTGACTTCCAGCTGTTCAGACATTGTGTAGGTGGTGATGGAGTATGAAGGAAGTCATTCTTTCAGAAATTTTGGATATAAAAGACCCGTCGTGACGCGTTACGAATGCCGGTGCGGGCAACGCGCCGCTGTTCCAAGTGCAGTGCATAGAGGGGCAGTATCGGAATGTGGGGGAGTGTACTACTTGCGTAGCGTCGCAAGTACCCCGCTAATGACCGGAGCGATTTCCGTACCACAATCCTCGCTGTGAAACAAGATGATTGAAATGTAGACTCTTTCAGTAGATCTCTGGGCGCTTGCCTCTATGTACATTCGGGGATCATGAGAGTAAAACCGTAGCAGGTTTCTTCTCAAGATTGAATCATGATTGCATTCAAAAAAGTTCGACACATGTTCGCTGGATGCCCAGAAACTTGCATCAATCGTGGTATTACATGGGATGTAACCAAATGAAAATCTTATTTCATTTAGAAAGAGTCTTGCTATAAAGAAATGTATTTTGATTGGTATTTACTAAAGCCAATGATGCAAATCCCACTCATGTATATATACTACGACGACTTCGGCACACCCTGCATTGTGCCATAATCTTCCTTCAAAACCTCACCATTGACTTCTACCGGCTTGCATTCCTGAAGCACGTACATCATCCGTCCCCAAGACGTCGAGCTCAAGTTCCTCCAAGCATGCATTGTGCCCCTCTGGATCGCAACATCTCCTCTCTTCATGTGTCTTGTCTCTCCAGAATCCAACACTAGCTCGAACTCGCCTTCCAGCACGACACCGTAGTCTAGCGAGACGGTTCGGTGCATTGGTGATAAATGGCCTGGTGCCACGTCTACGAAGCGGAGGACCGTTCCTCCTGAAACTACGAGACCGGGCGAACTCTCTAGATATGGTTTGTAGACTTGTAGGTCGGCATCGTTGTTTAGATCGACAGGAAATCCCTTTGTGACGTATCCCAGTCGGAAGTCTGCTCCTGGAATGGGATCGACTTTGTGCTCGTCGGGAATGGCATTGGAGAAGACGGCTTGCTTTGTGGCTGGGTCGTGGGTTGTGATGAAGCGATTGATCTTGGGGAGATCATTTGGGATATGGGTTGGAGGAGCCATGTTTCTAGAAAGCGGCAGCACGCGACAAGACGGTTTGTGGTATTGAAGAAGATGTTGATACGAAAAGATCTGTACTAGCAGAGAGATGTTTTACAGGAATTGAGTACTGATAGACTGTAACAAAAGAAGGATGTGAGACAGTGCCATCGAAAGACTCGTCGGCGGCCTTCCGATGTGGGGGATACATTTACTAACGAATATGCCACCTGCATCTGCCGACACAGGGCCGATGCATTTTGGGTGGATCCTGTTGCATGCTTAGTGCATCTGGGTATTACTTAGATTGGAGGTTCGCAGTAGCCGAGTGGGGAACAGGTATAGTACGACTTAACTCTTAGGGTAATGCATAGGAGGGGTTCACGGTTGCACCTCGGGGACTGAGGACGGGTGCCCAGTTCTGCTACTATCGATAAGAGGCATGAAGCAAACTCTACGCCAGGTGGTTACGCTGAGTCCAAGATTAAGCATGACGATTGCACCTATCCTGTTGTTTCCAGATTATGGGCAGGTAGACATCTTGTATCGAGGGGTAATTGAGGTGGAGATAGTAACGTGACAGAAGCACCTCAAACCGCTTTGAGTGGATTGCACATACACAGCTCTGTTTCTGCGAAAGGTTACACAGCATTACCATGTCTTGGTATGGCAATGTGAGTATCTGGTATCTGCAACCAATACTGCATTCGGTCTTCCGGTCTTGTCGGCTTCCATTACAAATCTATAGCGGGACTGGTCCGATGTGGGGGAATAACATCCGAAACATCGACCTACAACCCCACACATCCATGAACACCAGGCATGATACCCGGCCTCGGTAGAAGTTTGTAATCACAAGCTATTAATCTTTAGTTGTACAACAAACATTACATTCTTTCACAGTCTCGTCATAATTGAACTAGCTTCAATAATCAGTACTCTACAACCACAATGGCAGACAGCTACGCCTCACATTTTGGCATCAACAACATCCCCTACGGAGTTGCAAGTTCGTCAAAGCGAACAAATCCACAATGTGTCACTCGTATTGGTGACGAAGTCATCTTCCTTGCAGAGCTCGCTGAGCACGACACTCTGAAAGCAATTTCAGCACCACTATCCTCCATCCTCCGCGAATCCACCTTGAACAACTTCGCCGCATTAGGCAAAGACATACAATCCAAAGTCCGAACCAAAATTCAAGAAGCTTACAAAAGCAACTCGCACAAGGAGTACTCTGAACACATCAACAACGTGACCCTTCACCTACCCGTCCAAATCGGCGACTTTACAGATTACAGCGCATCAGCGAGCCATGTTCTCAACGCGGGAGAAGCCGTAATGGGCGTCCGGTCATATCCGCCCGCGTTTAAAAAGTATCCCGTAGGCTACGCAGGCCGATGTTCCTCCATCACTCTCTCCGGTGCACCAGTCACCAGACCCTTAGGTCAATTCATTGAAGACTACACCGTTCCCGAGAAGAAGATCATCTTCGGTCCATGCCGGAGTCTAGATTACGAAATGGAAGTTGCGGCCGTAATTGGCAAGCCCGTAGCGCCAGGCAGCTTTCTCAATGCCAAGGACGCCGACGAGCACATCTTTGGACTCGTTTTGCTGAATGACTGGAGCGCAAGAGACATTCAAGGCCTTGAGATGAACCCACTAGGCCCATTCAACGGAAAAAACTTCATGACATCCATCACGCCCTGGATCGTAACGCTAGAAGCCTTGAAGCCCTTTGAAGTACCTGCCCCAGAGCGCATGGAATCTGTCGCCTCTTTCATGGACGATCCCAGAAGCGCAAACTATAACATCCAACTGGAAGGTCAAATCATCCGCAATGAAGTTCAGACGACAACGTGCAAAGTCGGGTTTGAGACTATGTATTGGACGTTCAGGCATATGCTAGCACATCATACTATTGGCGGCTGTGGTCTTCGATCAGGAGACTTGGTTGCCAGTGGGACGGTATCAGGCGAGCAGAAACATGAGCATGGATGCTTGCTTGAGCTTACGAAGAATGGCAAGGCTCCAAGTAAGTTGAGTGACGGAGCGGAGCTACGCTTCCTTGAAGATGGAGACGAAGTAAGGTACATTGGTGTAGTTGGGGATGGAAGCGCGGGTGTCGGATTCGGGGCGTGCGTTGGTACTGTAAAGCCTGCTCGACAGATATGAGAATATACGGAGTACTGAATGTAAATCCTTTTTGCTTTTGTCGGCTTCGGCAAGTATCAGGCAGTGCTCATATCTCAAGGTCTGTGCAATCAGCTACTTGATTAGTCTTTCCGCTATTGACTTCTCGAAAAAGAATATAGCCCTGCATCATATCGAGTACTCCACTAAACATGCACTGTGTTGACAAAAAAGAAGTCTTGAGGTCGTGCCCGGGTTCTTCTCAATGTTAGGAATTGCAATCACATCAAGGTCGAGGAAGCATCTTACCGAACCGGGGTTATCAGAATGTTGAGAAGTCAAAATCTGAAGTGATAACCACTACCTGGAATCGAATGAGTGCATGCTCAATGGCGCAATAGATGTAGATCAACGTACACTACACAACCTATGGATGCTTCGAGTGGTGCAATATGTCTTTTTTTTGCGATATACTCTTGATATAGTTATTCATGCTAACACATAGCCAACAAAATCTCGATACATGTAACCGTGATAAAATATTAAAGCTATGACGTCTAGACTTTTGCAAGTGGACATCGTAGTGGGGCATGGTAGTTCTTCTAGGGCAAAAAGGAGGGGTCGAATTTACCGACTCAGGCAAACCTCAGCTTCCCTACGCCCAGAAACAACAGTTCCGCGATAGCGAACCCAGCCATCAGAAAGGCAAAAAGAAAGGTTTTTGTGATGCATACGAGCGGGGAGGATCGAACTCCCGACCTTCTGCGCTTTATATCTTAGAAGATGTAAAGCAGACATCATAACCACTAGACTACGCTCGCCAATGTTCTTTGATGACAAATGAAGAAAATTTATCCATTCTATTTTAGATGCAATAACCTTGACGAAAAGATGACAGATGGGACTTGAGAGTATCTAGTGGATCTGGAGAAATGATAACGGCATGCCTGGTGGGGCGCAGATTAACCACAACAGTTTACCAGACTGTTGCGTCCCACAAGCGTAGGCGGTTGCTACTAAAAAGGTACTAACTTGAGACAACAGCACGGCCTAGGATATTCCAGTATAAGAAGAGTGTATTAGAAAGATACAGTTTTTATTGCAAAAATGGAAAATCAAAAGCCGCATGCATAGACAACAAGGCGTGCCATCACACATCACCATCACGGCCGAGTGACGACGTTAACTCCGAGCAACCTCAGGCCTACCACGCCCAATCTTACCCACTCCACCCACACACACACCCACACCACCGGCCATGTCGCAACTTTTATTTTCACGGACGCCCGCGCTGCGGAGCGTAGTGCAGCGGTCCATCCCCGCCCAGTTCCGCGCCTCATACCATAGACAGGCGCCGCCGAAAATGGCATCGGGCGCAGCGCCCATCCGCACGCTACTACGTCAGACGACGCTGCGAGCAAGCGCCATAGCAGCACAGCGCACGTCGTCGTCGTACCCTGTGTCGCAGCAATTCTCAGTGCAGACATATACGCAGCAGCGGTCGCGCTCGCCGTCGCCGCCCCCACCGTACCAGGCGCGCAACACGTCGATACTTGCGGCGCCGGGCCAGTGGACGCGGTTCAACTCGTCGTATAATACGGTTTCTTCAGTCCGCACGTTTACGTCTACCACACGTGCTAAGTTTGCTGCGTCGACGGCGGAAGCCCCATCGTCGCTGTCGCCAGAGTCGCAGCAGGCGGTTGAGGCAGCGATCGAGGAGATCCAGGAGCTGTATGGGACGGCGAGGGACGAGTTTGAGATCGCATCCGAGGAAAGCGAGAAGAATACTACGTATGCGCCTGATGATCGGGCTGCGGCACGGGAAGAGCTAGATCGGCTACTGGAGTTTTACAGGGGCGTTTTGGAAGGCGAGGATCAGGCGGTTGCGGATGAGGTGAAGAGGAGGGTGGGACAGCGGATTCGCGAATTGGAGAATGCAGTTTTGGCTATGGAAGAGGAGGCTTTGCACGGTGACTAGGTTCGCCATATGAGGATGGCACCACTTTCAAACTATCATATTCCCGGTATCTACGTTGTTGCGTCTCTCAGAATGGTGCGAATTATACAAAGCACAAATGTTTCAATCATCAAATCGTTACTCAAAGCGTGCGTGACTGGAAAAATGCTCAAACTCGGGCAATGGATGACGGGGGCGCCTGTCTTGCCCGCCATGCAGTATAGCGTCAAGCTCGTCTCTGAACTTGGTCGACTGCGGTGGCTGTGGGTACGAGTCTCTTGGCCGACTGGGTAATTCCAAGCTGCTCTCGCCTCTGTCCTCTTGCATCTCGTCCTTGAGAATCTTGACTTGCTTTTTGATCTCAACCCACAACTCTAGCTTGTCCAGTTTTGAGTCAGATCCAGATGCCATGTCAATTGAGTCACCAACATGCGCTCTCCGGCCAAAGTTGGCGTGAAGAGTACCATCACCTAGTTTCATTGGATCTTGAGGACCCGACCACCTTTCTGCTTCACGGTCTGCTTCAGCAACACTCTTACCTCCACGAGCGGCGATTGCCAGAAGTGCGGCAACAAAAGCCTCTTGCATGTAAGCAAAAGAAAACTTTGGTGTTATCTCTGCAATCTTGTCACACAGCTCGTCAGGGAACTCAAGATTCTTGTTATCTTTGAGTTTGTTTTGCCAGAACTTGGCATATTGAACACGCTGATCGTAGTCGGGGTTTGAGAAGTAGTACTTGCGGTCAAAGCGGCTCGGCCTTTTCGAGATGCCTGGGTCTAATCTGTCGAGGTGGTTGGTAGAGCCAACCATAAGGATGCCGTCGTTAGACTTGAGACCGTCTACTTCGTTGAGGAAGTAGGACCGGACACTGTCTTTGACAATCGAGTCAAGGTCCTCGAAAACAAGGTAGCAGGGAGCTTCCTGGCGGGCTTTGGCAAAGATGGCTTGCAAAGAGTATTCGGGACCAGCAAAAGAGCTCAGCGAGCGGACATAGAGGGTAGGCACAGCCATCCTAGAGTCGCCATCTTTTCCGCGTTGATAAAGACTGTGCATCATAGCCTTGATGCTGATAGTCTTACCGTTGCCTGGCGGACCGTAGTAGATGACGCCACGCTTCCACGGTACCTTGAGATCCTGGTAGGTCTGGCGACCATCAAAGAAGTTTTCGACGTCGGCGATCAGCGCCTTCTTCATATCCTCGTCTAAGATGACATTGTCCCAACTGCTTTTCTGCACAGAGTTGTACAGCTCGGCGCTCTTCTCCCAGTAACCCCCGTCAAAGACCCATACCTCATTGTGTAGTTCAGAGCCCCACGTGGTCGCGTCCTTGATCAGCTCGTCCACCTTGTGCTCCGCGTTGGACAGGATGTAGTACATGACAGGAGCTGGGTATGCTCCCAAGCCGTCGCGCCCTTCAGCGAGGTACACTATGGCCTCCTGGTCCTTCCATTTGTACAGGTATTTGCCAAAGATGACGCGCTCGATCATGCGACCCGGGTATGGGTCGAGTCTCCTCGAGGGTGGGACATAGCTGCGTTGCTTGACACCAGGGCCGTATACGGGGTCTTTGACGACGTCATCGAGGGGGGTGACGGTTGCAAAGCCGGCCGAAGCGTACGCGAGCAGGTTGAGCTTGCCTTGGGGCGCGACGATGAGGTCGAGTTGGGGGTACTGGGAGCGGATAGCTTCGATGAGCACAACATCGGTGTTGACGCGCTTGGCCGACGAGTGGTCAAAGTATGAGAGGCTCGCCATGTCCTCGTGTCCTGCCTTTCCTGCCATGATGAAGTTGGATAATACTCTCGTGCTGGGTGGCAGACAGTGCTGTGGAGGTAGTAGGGAGCGCTGCCTTCACTGATGGTTGCTTCACTGACGGTTGCCTAGTATGAAGCTTCCAAGCTTCAGGCCGACAGCGCTGAACTGAACTCCGGGTAGCTTGTTGGGGGCTTCCCCGCCCCCCCGACCCCGATCGACGCCCCCATTACGTAGCACGTGTCGCCAACCCCAAATTCGCCTCAACACCATCGCACCCATCACTATTTTTGAGTGTTTGCTCCATTGCGCTGCTCAATACTGTTCGACTGGCTCCATGTGCACTCATGGCCGTTATTTACAACTGCGCGTGCCTGCCCATGTCCACCCAAGCCTGCCGTGCAAGCGACATGCGCCAAGTTTGTACCAAGCCGGCACCGAGTGACAAGGAACGCCACTTTTCTGCCCTGGTCTGTCTTATTGCGACGTCGTTGAAATTGTCCAATTTTTCGAGGCAGTAGTTAGAACTGTAAGGCATGAATATGTGCTTGCACAAGCCGGATGCTATCATGGCAAAGAGCACTTGCGACGATATTTGGCTACGTCGGATGCTTCACCGGGAACTGTTCGGGTGATGAATCAGCTCAAGGCATCCTCTCGCGGCAATGATATGTATAAGCAGCGAACAACATTGACTCACTCAGGTCGCCTAGCCATGTAGAAGAAATCAAGGGCGGTGAACCTCGGGAACATGAAGACATGTATCAGTAGTTCCCCGGAGGTTGTGTGAAATATTCCACGGATCACCGGAAGTCGTTTTGGCGTCGGATGGCTGGCGACGGCTCCTCTCCGCTTTCCAGGCATCCTGACCTCTGGCACGCTCTTGCGCAGGGACGAAGTGGAGTCCCCCAGATCTTACCTCTCCGCAGTCCAGGTGGGCCTGACTTCCGAGTGTTCCAAGGGCTCGTTTTCTAAGGGGCTCATCATACTGGTCTCTTGCAACAGATTCAACATGTCGGAGTTTTCTCAACCAGATTTTCCTTATTCTATCATATACACCACACCTGGCTTGATTGGCAGGACGCATTCATTGTAGAGCGGCGTATTGAATGTGTTGCTGCTAGAATAGGGCACTGTGCCCTGTCCCATACAGGCACCGCAGGACGCCTCGGTTGTTGGGTTGTGGTCAGGGCATATGAGCATGCGACGCAGCAATACCACAGCATCCCCAGAAAATGGCCTGCACTCGGTATTAGCCTAAATTGCTAATACAAATGTGGCGCAATCTCACCGAGTCGCATGTAAAGCCCGCAAACCCCGTGTGCAAATCCATGGCGCAAGTAATGGAGACGGCACGACCGCATGCAGGTCGAAGGAAACAGCTTGACACTTCTCCCCGTTCGTCCGGAGATTGCAGCAGCCAACATGCGTCTCAACCGTTTGTTCTAGCGTGTAGAGTATGACTAGAGTTGCTCCACTTGCGGCCCACAAGAACAGCAAGAATGCGACTTGAGACACTGCGCTAGCATTCCCCATTCCGCGAAACATCGGCGAAACTGCTGCTCGTCATTTCGACAAACCATAAGCTACAAGTTCCAAACTTTCTGCGACGACATACGAACATTGTCTGGACTGCTGTTGCGATGCCTTCACTGGCCCGTCTAGGCTGTGTTGTGTCATTATATTAGAATATGCCGGCCGTGCCGCCGAGACTCTTGGACAAAGCTTAGCTGCAGGGCCACACGCACAATGCCGTCAGCCCATCCCCTCCGCGGCCATTGAAACTCATGCACCCACGAGAATGGTGGGATTACTCAACTAGTGGATTGCTTACGCAACGGCACGAGTATTGTCTTCTGCGTTCTAGATGAAAGAAGCTGAGAGAGAAAGTTGCCCAGCAACAAAGGCCCGCTTCCATGCCCATTGTGATCCGTCAGATCCAGCTCCCTCGGTAGCCGAGCGTGGGAGCAACGGGTGTCCACTTTTTGCAGCCATCATCGAGCCGACTTTGCGTCCAATTTGGCAGAGTAGAGTAAATCGAGCATATGTGTTGGTGCACGAGCTCCACCCCTAGGCATTTTTTGCAGGGTCCCTCTTCAAGGGTGAACCTGCAGACCGCCAGGACGCAAATCACCAAGCAGTCCGTGTGCTATACGATGCATTTGAAAAACTGCATCTCGCTCTCAACGGTCGCATTCAAAAGGGGAAAAGAAGAAGAAAACAAAGGCATCCACAAAGTGTGTTGACATTGTCTTGTCATGGGTCAGTATGATGTAATGCTTGGGACTTGGACGGGCGACACGGCAATCGGGAATTGGCGTTGCAATGCATTTCTCCGCGTCATGACGAGCTTCAAGAACGCTCATCTACACGCGACAGAGTACAGCTGGCTCAGTTGGCTCAGCCGACGCACCAATCACCGTCTTGACTTTTTTTTGGCCACCATCCGTCCTCGGGTAAGGGAACATTTGGTGCCGATCCCACAGCGCAGGTGGCTTCGACTCGACCTGTCTGTCGTTCGTCGGCCCACTGTGCGCTCGGTGGGTTGACCATCAGTGGATACACGCGCACGCGCTGTCCTTTTACCCGGTCTGGAGAGGCGTCTATGGGGAACTCTCATGAGTGGTCCACTCGAGCACTTGTTTGGGGTCTTACTATCCACCCTTAGTCGCGGGGCTAGTCGCCCGTACAGGACCGCTCATGGCGCTCATCCTTGCGGTGCATGCTCGCGGGCCTAAACATATATATTACGCTCTCCGCTCCCCCCCATCCCCATCCCCAGACTTTCTTTCTCTCAACCTTGACCATTAGTCAGACCAATTAGCGCGTCAACCCTTCTGTCACACATTACTCGGCAATCATGGCGACAGCTCGTGAGCACAACGACGTCGAGGTAGGCTCTCGCTTCAATCGCTAAATGGGCTGCCTGTGTCTAACTCTATCCTATTACAGCGCGGCGCGAGTTTTGAGAAGAGCGTAAACGGCACCAGTGCAGTCGATCACGCTGGAGCAAGGCCCAAGCAGAGGACGCCCTATGACTATGGCGGCAACCCTCTTGCCCATGTTGCTACCAATGACCCAGACCTTCGCCTTGCCGCCTTTGGTGGTGAATTCCAGCCTGGTCTCTACCGCCCGCCGAACCGCAAGTTTGCCAACCCAGCTCCCCTGGGTCTCTCGGCTTTTGCCCTCACCACCTTTGTTCTGTCTTTGATCAACGTCAAGACGCGCAGCATTGGCCACCCAAACATTGTCGTAGCGCTTGCGTACGGCTACGGTGGTCTTGTTCAGCTTCTGGCTGGCATGTGGTATGTATTATCAAGTAAACTGGAAAAAGATTCCCTGTCTAACACGCAAACCAAGGGAAATGGCCGTTGGCAACACATTCGGTGCTACAGCACTCTCATCCTACGGAGGTTTCTGGATCGCCTTTGGTATCGTTCTCACGCCTGGTGTGTTTGAAATCGAGGAGATTCTCGTCAAGAGCGGAGATTTCTACAACTCATTTGGTCTCTTCCTGATGGGCTGGTTCATCTTTACCTTCCTCCTTTTCCTCTGCACCCTGCGATCCACGGTCGCTTTCTGCTTCCTCTTCTTCACCCTCGACATGGCGTTTATGCTCCTCGGTATTGGATACCTCCAGGCCGACGCCAACGGCCCTCAAGAGTCGTGCATTGTTGCTGGTGGAGCGTTTGGCCTCATGGCCGCTTTTACCGCTTGGTACAATGCGCTTGCTGGTATTGCGGATAGTTCCAACAGGTACGTACTTGGTCTTTTACCATCTATTCGTCGAGAGGACAGTATGCTAATTATTCCCCCTCTAGCTTCTTCGTTATTCCCGTCGCCCACTTCCCCTGGTCAGAGAAGGGCCGTGAGCGTCGTAACAAGGTCGACAACTCTGCCGCTCGCGCTGAGGCCGAACACCTTGCTTAAGAACATGCGAACTATTCCATGTATGAGTTTCATGTTGCCCTGTAAACCAGCGCATCGTTGTACGAGTTGATGGATCTGAAGAGGAAGAAATAAGATATTTTGTCATGAAAATCAGTATTCCATCTGGCTGCTGCATCGGGATATGCAAGCCACCGTACATAATGAGCGGATTATTTACTCTTACATTTTTTAATACCAATTTCGAAATACCCAATACCTACCGAACTACTTCTCTAAGAATTGAAAAATGAATATCAAATCAATCATCTGTGCATCGCCATTATGTTGTGAGGCACACCACACACATCGCTCCACAAACAATCCCAGCGTCACCCGATTCCCACCATACCGACACGCCACGCTACGCCCACCACACACCACACACCACACACCACAGACATGCGACCCACCCCCCTCTGACGTGCGCCACGCTTCCTTCCCGTCTTAGCCCCAAGCCCCCCCCTTCTTTTCCCTCTTTTCTCCCCCGCATTTCCCCCTGACCAATCTTTTTCTTAGTGCACAAAAATGCAAAGCTATTCTAATCATGGGTAACTACGTAGGTGTGGTTGAGGGTGTCTGGGCTGAAGTCAGAGGCGTTAGGTTGTACGCTACTGCGTGTGGTTTAGCGTGGCAAGTTGGGTCTTCACCTTGGGATCGTTCTTCTCAATTTACTCTATTAATAAATACCTAAATAGAATGCTTAAAGTTCTAATGGAGAGCTCTAAAACAGGCTACGAAACTTCTCAATCAAGTAAGTATTAGTAGAGATAATTGCGTTTTTAAAATCCTAATATAGCGACCTACTAAACTAACGTATAGTTATATGATAAAATAAACTTAATTATTAAAGAAAAGTTCTAACGTACCTTATAGGTTCGTGAAACACACAGGTTTATACAATACTTTTGCTAAGACCTTACTAAAACTACTATATTATAACGTACCTCACGGGTTCGTGTCACACACGGGTTCGTGTCACAGTTTTGCCAAGCCCCCACCAAAACCACTACTACCTACCAATGTTACAA